TGATGAAAAGGAAAAAAAAAGGGGGGGAGTGGAAGAAAAAGGTTCCTACACTGAAACTGCTCTATTGAATAAATGGTGAGGGACCACATGCAGTGCCTTCGCAGACCACCATGTGCTGCTGGTTGAAAACCTCTGAATTAGACCCAGTGCAGCAGTAATGCACATCCTTAGCTCAACTGATTACATGTTTTGGTTGTGGTAAACATAATCTTCCACTATTAAGATCATGTCACTGCTCCTGATTGCATTTAATACATAACACATAAATTACTATTAAATCCTGTGATCAGCATGGATTGTGACCTCTGGGACATTTTCTGCAAAAACGCACAGGTTGAACTAAGTTTGTGTGTGTGTGTGTGTGTGTGTGTGTGTCTCGGGAGTGATTCTTCATGAGGAACACATAGAGCTGCTGACAGAAGAATACAAGGAACTGAAGAGAGCAGTAGAGGGAAAAACCCTGCAGGAAGGTACTCTTCATTTTACAGGTAAGAGACAGGAGCATGTCTCTGATTAATTTGATGCTTCTGTGGATCTGAACCAAACCTTTCCTCTGAGTTTTAAGGTTAGTATGTCCCTGCTTCAGTTTTAGCATATGGCTTATGTTTTTGATGTTTTTTTTTTTTTTTTAAGTTTATCAAATGCCATGTGGTACAGTCAGAGCCGTTTCTGAACATCTTGGGGCCCTAAGTGAGATCTCCACACAGCTTGCTATTATTTGAGATCATATTATCCACTTTTAGACTGGGGAAGAAAACTAACTAGCACTGACCAAAGTAGGCTGAAGGAAATGTGATCTGTTTTTAACAACCCTTTATTTTGCAGTCACACTTTACCAACATGCTCTAAAATGCGACTGATCACTCGCAGTCTGGAGCCCTGTGCTTGACTAATGGCTCAGATACAGGGTTGAGTGTTTCCTTTAAAAGAAATGGTGCATGAGGCCCTTGGTGGTTTGGGCGCCTGTTATGGTTGCGTCCCCCTCACCAGGAGGGTGAGGGAGAACTGAGGTAGGACTCAATGTGCAAGACCCAGGTGCTGGTGAAAAAAGGTGGTTTGTTGGGGGAAAAACACAAACAAGGTAACAGTCTATGTCTGTGGCATAATCAGGCTGGACAGTACAAAAACAGGGCAGGCTGAGGAGACCAGGACGAACAGGTGAGTGGACAAACTAACGGCAGGAACCAGGAGAATAGGAGGATCTAGGACAGACAGGTGAGTAGACGGAACAACCAGGAGGATTAGCAAACACCGTCAGGGGAGCAGAGTAGCAAACGAAAAAAGAAATCAACGGCACAGGAACTGTCAGCGTGGAAATCAAATTACGCATGCCTAAACACAAGGAAACGATGTACAAAAAGAGATCCACAACACAGGAACTGTCAGCGTGGAAATTAAAATGGCGTCTGACACATACCATGAATACAAGTATATCTACAGATAATGCTCCGGCAAAGACGGAGCATCTGCCTGAGGTTTAAATAAAGGAGCAGGTAATCACAGGAATGCACCTCAGCTGTGCGCACTGACAAACAAGTCACTCATTACCGAATACTACACAGCTGAGGTGCCGATCCCGCAGGTCGAGAGAGAAAGGAGGAAGAGAGGCAGGCCGCGCCGAGCGGACCTGACAGGGCCCTATGCTGTCACTTGCATTGCCTATAGGTAGAAATACAGTGGTGTGAAAAAGTGTTTGCCCCCTTACTGATTTCTTATCTTTTTGCATGTTTGTCACACTGTAATGTTTCAGATCGTCAAACAAATTTATATATTAGTCAAAGATAACACAAGTAAACACATCATGCAGTTTTTAAATGAAGGTTTTTATTATTAAGGGAAAACAAAATCCAAAACTATAGAGCCCTGTGTGAACAAGTGTTTGCCCCCCTGTCAAAACACTGGTTTATCGCACCTGAGTTCAATTTCTCTTGCCACACCTGTTCGCAATCAAGAAATCACTTAAATAGGACCTGCCTGACAAAGTGAAGTAGACCAAAAGATCCTCAAAAGCTAGACATCATGCCGAGATCCAAAGAAATTCAAAAACAAATGAGAAAGAGAATAATGGAGCTCTATCAGTCCGGAAAAGGTTATAAAGCCATTTCTAAAGCTTGGGGACTGCAGCGAACCACAGTGAGAGCCATTATCCACAAATGGCGAAAACATGGAACAGTGGAGAACCTTCCCAGGAGTGGCCAGCCGACCAAAATTACCCCAAGAGCGCAGCGACAACTCATCCAAGAGGTCACAAAAGACCCCACAACAACATCCAAAGAACTGCAGGCCTCACTTGCCTCAGTTAAGCTGAGTGTTCATGACTCCACCATAAGAAAGAGACTGGGCAAAAATGGTTTGCATGGCAGAGTTCCAAGACGAAAACCACTGCTGAGCAAAAAGAACATAAAGGCTCGTCTCAGTTTTGCCAGAAAACATCTTGATGATCCCCAAGACTTTTGGGATAATACTCTGTGGACAGACGAGACAAAAGTTGAACTTTTTGGAAGGTGTGTGTCCCATTATGTGTGGCGTAAAAGTAACACCGCATTTCAGAAAAAGAACATCATACCAACAGTAAAATATGGTGGTGGTAGTGGGATGGTCTGGGGCTGTTTTGCTGCTTCAGGCCCTGGAAGACATGCTGGGATAAATGGGTTTTGTTTTCCCTTAATAATAAAAACCTTCATTTAAAAACTGCATGATGTGTTTACTTGTGTTATCTTTGACTAATATATAAATTTGTTTGATGATCTGAAACATTACAGTGTGACAAACATGCAAAAAGATAAGAAATCAGTAAGGGGGCAAACACTTTTTCACACCACTGTATCTCTAGGTACAGTGTTGAGTTTGATGTGAAAAGTTGTCCTTGGACACTGAGAAAAAACACATTTTAGAGTTGGAAATAAAGCTAAATATTTTTAAGGAAATGTAATGTATGCATATTATAATTTGTTCAAGGTGAAGTTCTGAAGACTGGATTTGGTTTCCCGGCATTTAGCGGCATTGCTCGCCTCACCTGGTTGGTTGAGTTGTTTGGTAAACTGTCTGCAACTGCAGCAACCTTGGAGGAGGACTCTGGAAACGGCTACAGCAAGTTGACTGCAAAGCTGCTAACGTCTGACAACAGGTGAGAGCAGGTGTTTCTGTCTGCATGCAAGTCTACCACAGAGATGGGATCAATATCATGCCTCTAGGCTAAAACCAATGTGTGACTCCTCACAGCATTTTCTGACTTCCCTACCCAGCCTGTACCTCTGAGTCCCAAAGGCCACTGATTCCTAATGAAGACATAAATCTTTAAAAACAACTCTGAGGCCAAAATATGTTTTTTAATTAAAAAAAAAAAAAGTTTTTAAAGTGTTACTCAAGCAGGACAGATTAAGAACTTTTTACAGCAGAGGATTGGCCCACATTTAGTGCTCTGGTTACACAACAGTTTTGTTTTATTTTATTTTATGCCTTTATGACATCTAGCTATCTGTCTCTTCTCCCAGGCTCTTTCCCCGGTAGCTAGCAAAATGAAATGTTTCATATGTGACCAGCCAACACTCTTAATCTCACTGCATCATACATATTTACAAAATCAATATCTATTTTTATTTTACTAAACAAAATATTGCACAATTTTCCATAAAAAGCAATAGAAAATAAAATTAAATCAGTCTTAAGAGTGAAAGTGGTGAATTCTACCAGTTCAGTGAACCCATTTACTGGAAACAAGAGACACCCAAAGATGGCATAATAAAGCCAGTTATAAGATAAATATGTTTATTTACAATATGTACACAGGAAAAATGATCGGGATGAGAGAGGTGATTCAAATGGTACATGCTTGGGGGATGAATGAATGACCAGCCTGTGGTTGGCGATGGTGGAAGATTGTTTTTCTGGTCAGAATTTGAGCTTGATTCTAGATCTAAATTTTGGGGTTTAATCATGAATATGGAGAGGAAGAATATCTTCCGGTTGCTATAGGTTAGGGACTTTAACTTGGTAACTAAATGTGAGGAGGGATCGCTGCCTTTACACCGATGACTATTAAAGCAGTCATACGAGTTAAGATAGGTGTTTGGTAATAAGCTTAGGCTACTATTTAACTTTTTATCCCTTTCCCCACCATAAACTTCTGAAAATAATTATCTCCAATATGCTTTAATATGAACTGTATGAATGAGGAAATGAAAGAACTTTGATTTGTTGTAGAAAACCTGCCAGTGAGCAGGTTAGATTCACAGAGCACGTTACTGTGGTAACTGACCCAGAGTTAGAGAGATCTCCATTTTTGGAAATTAAAACTGAGTTTTCCACAAGTGAGAGTGAATAAATTCCATGTTTTCGCTTAACCTGCTATCTAGACACCATGTTTAAAGCTTATTGCAGTAGCCACTTGTTCCAAGCTCTGTCTTTAATCTGTCATGACACTTCATGAGAGCACAGATGTCGAGACAGGTCAATTACACAGGGGAGGGTTTAAGAACCATAAGATAATATTTTTTTTGTCTTGTAGACTTCTGACATGGATCGAGGAACGGGGACCAGGCTGCCCAAGAGCCAAGAACATCAACTTTCAGTTTGACTCTTGCTCTCTCACAAAGATCCCTCCTGCACCTGCAGGGGCTGTGGGCCTCTTCATGCAGGACCTGATCCACTTCTCTGCCAAGCTGTCACAGCAAGTAAGTCCTGAGGAGCTCCAGAGAGAGAAACTCAGGATCCTACACTGCCTTGAACTGGCAGAGAGGATACAGTTACTCTGCCAACATTAAACTTCATCACACCAGAGATTATTACTATTCAAATGCTGAGTCATTAAGCAGAATAACACAAAGTAGCGTGATCAGCACATTTAGGCAGGGGTACCTGTATATCTACAAGGAGCCTTAAGCTGGGCAGGTCTCAAGGCTACATTTACTGTTTCATTGAGACCCCAAGTGTTACCTTGATTAGACAACTGCCTTATATTTAATATTTTTGATTTTTTTTTTTTTTTCATCATATGTTGCCTTGACATTCTAAATAAAACCACTTGGCACCACTGACTGACTTACTGGAGAAATTCACAACATCAGCGATGGCTGAAAAAGCACCAGTTCTGCTATTTCCAGTTACAACCTACACAGTTAAGCAACTGAACAAAAACTGAAAAAGGACTAGCGCAACATTACTAAAAACAACCTGCAAAGTTGTTAGCACAATAATTATTTGTTATGGCTAACTTCACAACAGAATTCAAACATGTAAAGTTGCTCTGATAATGAGAAGCTTAATGTCAAATTCTACTGCTAAATAAATAAATGATGTTATTCACTTTACTGAATCTAATAACCCAGGTGCTGATGTAAATAAAAACAGTCATTGACTATGCCTTTTATTTCTCACGCACGTTCCATTTTATTTCTCTTGTGATTAGCTAAATAGTTTTAAAAGAGGTTGTTAAATTTTTAATTAACATCTATATGTGTCTAAAGAAGAAATTTGGGAGTTTTGCATGAGGAAGCAGAGGCCTTAATAACTACATATAGGACCATTTATTCTGTATGAAAACTGAAAACGTAAACCTTAACATACCTATGTAACGGCGGTGTCATCATTTGTTCAACTCGTGTTCTTTTCCAAAAAGCAATGAAAAAACAAAGTTATCTTCAGACAACACCGAGTAATGAATGTATATATTTAGAATATTCTGAAAAAATGTCTTCAATCCAACCTAAATGAAGTAGGATATATCATTCAGACACAGGAGTCTTTCACATTACTCATTCATTCAGACATGATATTTAGCAAATGCTGCTGCTTGTTTTATTTCCTGTCTGAGTGGCAGGATGGCAAACTGGGACTCTGTTTGGCTCACATGCTGGGTGTAAAGTGGATAGTGATTCTTTTCTTTCATGCAGTTGGCATGAGTAAAGAGTAAAACTATACTGCTGGTCTGATTATTACTGTGCTTGTAGATGCACTGCAAGAGGGAAAGGTCGTATAGACCGTCTGATATGAGAATCTCCTCAATCTTTAACAGTACTTTATAATTTGTGTTGAAAGTGATATATAAACGTTACAAAGTCAAACCAACCTGTTCAATGAATTACTGTGCACTGAAAATGTTTTCTCGCCGTGTACAAATGTCACAGTTAACACGCCAGTGGATCCTAGAATTAACCGCTGGATCATGAATAAGGCAAGACTTCATAAATAACTGAAATCATTTTGTCAACCAACTCTAGGTCCATCCTGACCCGAGGTGACACTTTTTTCACCACTGGTGTATATACACTGGAAGTAGGTGGACAAGGTTGTGGTCAGAGCAACCTAGAGGGGGGAGGGGGGCGGGGGGCGGAGGTGTACGCCTTCCTGGCATTTGCATACATTAGATCCAGAGTTTTACTGTCCTTCATGCGGCAATTTACGTACATACTGGGTGATGTTTGGGAGGGTGGCCGAGAAGGGGAGAGAACCATGGTTAAAGTCCCCTGAGATAAGAATTAAACTGTTATTTGGACAACTGCCCAGTTTGCAGCCCAGACTAAAAGGTGGCATGAGGACACCTGTCGCGCACCAGAGAGGGAGAGATAGAAAGAGTCTTTAATGTTAAATATTTTTAAGACTTCATTCTGTGACCGGTTAAGAGTCTCTAATGTTAATGTTCATTGTTTTTAATATAACATCCCGTGACAGGTTAATGTGTCTGTGTATCACCTTTTGATGAGTTGAATGAGTAAACTACATTTTCATCCATCCATCCATTTTCTAAACCGCTTAGTCCAAAACGGGGTCACGGGGGGCTGGACCCAATCCCAGCCAGCTACGGGCGAAAGGCGGGTTACACCCTGGACAGGTCGCCAGCCCATCGCAGGGCTCACACACACAAGCACTCCTACGGGCAATTTAGAGACACCAATCAACCTATGCTGCAGGTCTTTGGACTGTGGGAGGAAGCCGGAGCACCCGGAGAGAACCCACGCAAGCACGGGGAGAACATGCAAACTCCGCACAGAAAGGCCACAGGTTGGCCGGGGCTCGAACCCAGAACCTGCTTGCTGTGAGGCAACAGCGCTAGCCACCGTGCTGCCCACTACATTTTCAGTGTAGGTAATATGTCTAATTATAAGCTGTTTAAGTTACAGTACATGACATATAGTTGGTCAGTAAAATATTAGAAAGAAGTCAGTTAAAAATGACTTAGAGCTGTTTATTGTCAGATTTATTTAACATTTCTTATATAGCAAGCTGCTTATCTCATTTTATAATCTGAGCATTTAAAGATAACTGTGGTATATTTCAAGCCGCTGCAGCTTTCTGGATTGTGCTAACTTGAACTCATCACCTACATTATTGACATAAGGGGACATGATGACTCCTACACATCGGGTCAGACAGCATGAGCCTCCAACAGCGTTCCAAGTCAACATGATTTTCAGGGTTCAAACACTTGTCTCTGAACCTGACCAAAAGGAAACAGAGTAATCCTTATGCCAACTATCAGTCTGTCTTATGTTTAGAATTTGTGTGTGTAAATGGACCATTTGGGGAGACTGAGGATACTCGCACAATAACAGATTATTTGTTAACCTGTTAAACCCTATGGACCTGCTACAGGGTCCAGTCATACAGTACTGCTTTGGTATGTCTGCTTAGGCGAGCCACTCCAGCCAGCACCCTAGGGCTTAAAAGGTTATTAAAACAGAGTTCTTTTGTCACAACCTACCCAACTACTGGGGTAGGTTAGATGGGGATGGATGTAACACTGAGATGTAATTGGCAGAAATAATATCCACACTATTCAATTTATGCAAGAATTTTATTGAACAATAAAGAGGAAGTCTCCAGGTCCCTGTCTCTTGCCTGACAGCCAATTTTTTCTTTTTTTTTGTTAATACGAGACAGAATAGGATACTCTTTTCACCACACTGCTTGGCACTCCATGCACTGTTGTGTTGTGGACAGCCTGACAGCTCCCAGAAGTGAAGCCACCATGAGTCAATCGCCCCCTGGTGGCGGGTTGCAGTACAGATCATAAATCCAATCACCTCCATGTTAGTGAATGAGGCATGAGCCAAACTAAAAACTCAAAAGTACAAATCAAATAATATTTCACAAAAGCTGATTTCCTTCATATTTAGTAGATTTTATCACACTGATGTGTGGACAAGTGGTCATTATTCTGGTATGGTTGTTATTAATAAGTTGAAAGTATAAAAAGGGATGTATTTTGGTTCACTTCACAGCTTTGATTGGCGACCTGATACATCAGTCAACTACTCAGTTGCTACTGTGGAGAATCTGGTTGCAAAATGCCAAGTTCTGACAAGTGGTATTTAATAAAGAGGTTTTGAAGTTGAAAGAGCCAGCTGTTACTGCTGGGCTGTATGTAGTCCTATATCAGTCCCTTATATATTTTCATTTAACAGCTGCTAAAAACCTATGTGTGTAACTGCCTAGTTTGAATAAATGCTGTCTAGTTAAATTTAACTTGGTTGTGATTCCCCCCCTTTTTTTTTTACATGCAATTTTAAAACTGTTCCAATTGAAATCATTAATGAAGATATAGAATTTTTTTAAGCAGACATACTCTATGTTGCAGGGACTACTAGCATCATCATACTGTTGTTGTAAGCACCCAAAGGTTAAATTAAGCATTTATGATGTGATTTAGAGGAGAGTTTAAAATATTAATATATATATATA